AATCGTTCAAGCTGTAGAAGTACACCAGAAGAGGAATCCCATCCCAGACTCCATTCTGTCCATGGAGTCGAGGACTGCCAGGATAAGGGGGAGAGACAGCTTCAGGGAGGAGGAGAATTAAGGTAAGACTTGTGATCCTTGATGTTGTTATTAATGCAATTAGTGACAGGTTATTGATGAACTGCACTCCAGTGACAGTTGCTTACATTTCTGAGCAGAGTGTGGCTAAAATACCACCCAAACCATGAAATCTTGAAGAACAGTAGAAAATTAGACCCAATATCAGACTTTGCAAAAACATGCCATACTTTTCTGTTCCAATGATTATCAGACAAAAAATATGTAGCCTTTATGATGTAAATGCAAATATTTATTTAAATATAGCTAATCTGGCAAAATAATTCCTGATTCTGAGAGCACAGAAAGTGCTCTCCAGAGGTGCCTTATACACAAACAGCTGGAAAAATTACAAAGAAAAATTACTGATTTGATGGTATTTAAAAGCAATGTTAAACAACTTCTGCCTACACAGAGTTTTATGTTCTCAGTCAAGCCTTCAGTGAGGCAGAGAAGCCTCTGAAACACTTTCATCCCAGACTTTCTGTTACTGAATGCAGCACACACACAAGCCAGTCCTGTTTTTCAGCATCCACCTGCATGATAGGAATTTTGCCCTGGATTTGAACCGCTCCTCGGCTTTGCCAATGCTCTGTGTAAGTGAATAACAATCCCATCGTCAAAGATGCAGTTTGCAGATGAAAGTTTGGCTTTGGATGCACCTGGGTGATCTCCTTTTATTACTGGAGCCAGTGAGTGCAACAGAGGAGCTGCACAAACTTCTTAGTGGGACAAGCTCAGAAGTGAAGAAGTGGAAACTCCAGCTGAGTTCAGCACCCTCTCTCTTTGCAGGATCTCTAGCTCTGGAGGAGCTCTGCTCTGCAGCTGCACAAATGAAAACCAGGAATCCTCTCTCCCTCCTTTGGCAAATGTGCTGCCAGAGCTGGGTCCCACCTCATCAGGCCTCTTTCCCAGGGTCTCATGACATGAACATCTCTTTACTCCGACAAAGACAAAAAGAATACAGCTCAAGAAAAACTATCAATCACCTCAGACTTCCTTCCTCCTGGTGTGTTTTCTTCTGTTATTTTCCCCAGACCTGTGGAGTGACACCTGAGCTGAGGGGACACTGGTGTGAGCAGGACAATCTCCTCTTCCTTCTCACAGACTATGGAAGGGTCAATACATCTCTTGTCTACTCTCCCTCCTCTACAGTGTCACTTTTTATTGGTTTTACTGTTGCTGACCTCCCTGCTGTAAAAGCCTGAACTTCTGCTCACCCATCTCCAAAGCACTCCAACACTAACTTCTGCTAAATTAACTAGCAAGATGGTTTTCAGGCTTAAACATCTCAGCACAGAGATATTTAACCTGCTGAGAAGATCCCCTGCTCTCAGCCTGCTCCATACAGACAGGCCCACAGAGGCATTAAGCTTCAGAAGATCCTTCACAAGCATCCATCCCTGCTGGGAACTGGATTTTTATATATTCCTAGCTCATGTTCTGGCACCTTGTGCACAAAACCCACCTTCCCTGGAGACGAGCAAGGCATTGCAAAGCAGCTCCTCCAGCCTCAGACACAAAGCTTGCTTCCTCTGCTGCCTGGCATATCCAGAGGTGCCCACACACCTGTCACCCATTCCTTGGGGAAAAGCTCATCTTCCACAGGACTACACAGCTGGTTTCACTGGAATAGGATTAAGACATCAGAACTGAATTGTTTCAGCCATCCTGTCATCTGAAGGTTCCCTACCCGAACGGGAAGCAGGATTTATTGCATCTCCTTCGCCTGAGCTCCTGCAAGTAAGAGGCTCATCCGGTTTTCTACCAGGCTGTGGTTTCACAGCACAGGTTTGCCCAGCTGTGTTTGTCATTCCCAGATGTGCACACACACATGTTCCCTGTTTGGAAAGGAACAGGGAGGTTCCTGCCAAGCAGGATTTAGCGCAGCAGCACAAGATGCTCCATGTTTGTGCAGTTGGCCTTCCAGCACTCGATGTAAGCAACGGGCACTCAGGCGTGGTAGCACCAGTCTCACCTTAATTAAAGTCACTTAAAATCACTGAGAGATTCTTTTCTTTCAGTTGCACCATCCCTTCTGCACAGAGTCCATCTCTCCACCCTGAAAGATGTTTACATCCCACAAAACCTCATCCAACTCTTGGGGATCTCCTTTACATCACACATCTCTACCCAGATGAGGCTGCGCTTGGGGTATCATCACACAAAACCACAAACTTACATCCAGTCTGCTGTAAGCTGGGTTAGTTTGTCCATGGCCAGCCAGTTCATTGTGTTTTTTGTTTTATGCAGATAGTTTTTAATGTAAGAGATTTTTTTTAAGTTAAGATGTAAAGATAGAGCTTTCCTCACAGAGTTTCTGTCAGGGACACTAAACACCTAAGTAGTGGATATATATTTATACACACCTCACATACACACACTGACCTCAAAGTAACTGAGTATGAAGAACCATTTCTTGTTACATCCCAACCTATCACATGTCCAACAGCAGAATTAGCCATTAACCATACCAGAATTACAGGTGTGTACACCAAATATTTAGAGATCCCTTCCAACCCAAACCATTCTGTAATACAAGACAAAGTAAAATCCTGCTGTAAACCCACTGGCCACAGCTCCAAAGGGACACCCCTAAGGCTGGAAGTCCAACTTCTTGCAGACGCACTATCAGTGGTTTTCTTCTATTATTCATTCATACATTAAAACTGTAGCATTGATTTTAATTCATGGGTACATTTATTGGAGTGGACTTTAAAGTTGGTATTGCTGATGGATTTTTAGCAGTAAAGAATTTAAGAGACAGAGGGAGAAAAAAATGTTAATGAATAAAAAAAGAAACAGCACCACTCTTCAACAAGCTACATAACCAGTCAGAATGTGCTTGAAATCTAAAATTCTCTTGGATTCTCTTCCCCCTCAGAATTGTCATTTGTTGACCATTAGCAAATACATAGATTAGGGTTTGGATTAGAATCCAGTTGTAACCAAAAAGCCCTTTATCTTCATTAACATCACCCCTACAACGGCGCTTTTGCTAATAAGGCGACATGGAGAGTGAAAACAGTGCCTGCCACATCTCTACAAATCCCTCCTTTTCTCTTTTTTTTTTTTTTTTTTTTTTTTTTTTTTTTTTTTTTTGCTATCAAATCCTTGATTTTAATTCCAAAGCACAGATTTCAACACATACAAATTCAATACCACCTCAAAAAGCAGAGTTTGCTCCTACTGGGCCAGATCCTCTGCTGGAACAAATCAATATGGATCTCTTTAGCCTAAGTGCATTTACATTGTGAATCCGGCCCCTGGGATCCCTGAGCTCACATACAGGAAAAGTCTGCTTTTAATTTAAAAAAAAAAAAATACAAAAAAACCCCCACATCTAAAAGGCTTTGCAAATGTGAGCTTACAGAGGGATGAGGCCCCTCTGCAGGTTTATTCTGGTTTATTTGTATTTTTGTAGCAGGAAATGCATGACCAAACCAAGAGTCTGGATGGCCACTGCCTTGGCTGAAATATCCTCATCATAATTTCAGTTTTGGCAGCACCATCTTCTGGGAGGCTTGTTCCAGTTTCATCAAACTCTTTGCCTTAGAGACAGGAAAGGAAATAATGTTTAAAACCCATTATTTTGATATGTACAAGTCAGAACTGAACTACAACTGTTTCGCTTGGCAATTTCTTTTATGTTAAATGATTCAAACCACCCTTCAAAGAAAAGCATTTATAGAACAAAACAGTTGCTCTGGAGCAAAATAAAACACTTATTTTGACACAAAAGAGTCTGCTCCTTCCCTTTCACTATTTGATTTCCTAACTTTTTCTTATTTTGCTTATATATATATATATATTTATTTTAATTTTTTTTTGCTCTGCCAGAGGACAAAAATAATCAATTATTTACACTACTCTAGATAAACCATGCATAAATCATGAAGAAAAACACACATTCATTCCCTCCACTGTAAACTACTATTTGGTGAAAAAGTAGAACATAACAGGAGTCTGAACTTATCCTCTGCCTCTCTTTGTCTTGTTTTTCAGTTAAGATTCAAGTGTAACAGCTTGGATCTTGGGACAACCTCAGAGCAGCCACGCTCCTTCCATGTTGTTATACTACCATCTACTGATAAAAGGATGCTATTTCTCTGGGATCTTACCTCCTGTCTTCATCACCTCGGTGCAACAAGCAATATTTCAACTCCATCAGAGCTCAAAAATGAGCATTAACTGCTATTTCAAACGTTAGCACTCAAATGCTCTTTTCTGCAACACGGACATACAGGGGCTTTAGCTGCCCCCCAGTTTTGGGGGATTTCTATTTGTTACTTCCTTTGTTTCTTTAAAGGGAAAAAAGCTAAGGGGTGGGAAGTAATCATCAAAAGCTTTTTGTCAACCTGAAGAAAGGAGGCTGGATTGGTCTTATACTAAAGAGAGACAATTGATAACTTAAAGAAGCTTAAAAAAAAAAAAAAAAAACAAAAAACAAACACACACACCCCCCAAAAAAACTCCACAACAATAACAAGTTTAATCTTATAAAATATTAATTCCTCCCCATTATTAACAGCAGGGAAGGCAGTAGCTTGGCTTTTTGCAGTGTCCTCACACCCCTCTTGGGGGTTCTTGGTGCTTCCAGCGAGCTGTCCCCAGTCAGCATCCAAGAAAAAACACTCACCTGGGATTACTATTCTGTTTGACTAAGGAATGGAGAATAGAGAGACAAGCTGACTCCTCTTTGCAAGGTCTCCAGATGAAGCAACTGGAAGTGCCAGTTAATTTCCCATCCTTTGCCCTTCTCAGCTATACCCAAAATAGAAAGAGTGGCAGGCACCTTTTATTGTAATCAGTGCGCTACAGCGATTTGGGGCTAATTAGATGTTGGTAATTAAGAAAAGACTGCTGTGACGGATGTTTTTACAGGTTGCATTGTTGATTCAAGAAATAAGACTGTTCACCTTTAAGTATTGTCAGTCACATTTCTTTAGCTGGGAAGAATTAAATGTCAATTTTATCTTGCTTCATCACTGCTCTTTAATCAATGTCGATGCATCACTTCCCCCTATCATTCCTCCATCAAACACTGACCTGGAAATCTGACACTGAGCTTTCCAACGCCAGCTCAGCTAATTAAGAACTTTGTTATTCCACCTTCCATCTTTTAAAGAAAAGTAAGAAAAGTGCCAAAGAGCCTTTTGCTTTCATGTGGAAAAGCATCAGCAGGGGGTTAATAATAATTATTAAAATGACTGACAGCTCGGGCTATGCTGTGATTTGGCCCAGCCCTGTAGTCCTGTAGTCATGGGTAGGTAAAAGCCAAGAAAAGTCAGGCCCTGAATTACTACAGCGAATAAATGGGATTTTAAGAAAGAAAATAGCTTCCTACCCTCAGACTACAGGAAAAGAGAAAGGTGCTGATACTTATTTCTGCGTCTAACCCTTTCAGCGTGGCAGCCAGGCCCTCACTGGGCGTGGGGAAGATCAGCAGGAGGAGCACTCAGAGCCTTCCCAAAGCAATCACAGACACTGTGGGCCACCAGCAAGGAATTAAAAAGCAGGGCTGAGCTATATCCAGATGGGTTTACTGGATTTTCCTGCACGCAAGCAGGAGAGACCATTTAATGCTTGTACCGCCACAGATTCTGGGAGTTCTAAGCACAGATTAAGATCTCAGCGTTCTGGGGGCTGGACAAAATGTCAGTCCCCGGTCCCACAGATCTCCCAGCCTGAGTAGGAGGAAACAGAAACGCCACGTGGAGGCGGATGAAAAAACAAGGGGAAAAAAAAGCAAAAGGAATGAAAAATGTTTAATTGGTACCGTGTCAGTGCACCTCTGCCTGTCACAGGCTTTGAGGGGGAAAGCAGGAGAGGAAGCAGAATTTAAATATTCCAAAAATACATAGTTTTGAAGATATTCCCTCCCTTTCCCTGAGCCCGGCGGGAACTCATAAGGCCGGATACAGCAAAAGTGTTTGCTAGAAAACTTGGCCGGTAGAAAATCAATTAGTTGAGGCCTGTCAGAAGTGGGCACAGATTTGTCAATACTGAGTAAGAGTGATAAGCAGGATGGATATGGACTGTGAAGGCTCTTCAATAAAGAGATGGTCAGGACTAGCAATGAGGACTCGAGAGGCAGAGGCAGGTCAAAGCTTCTTGGACATGGAATCCAGCAGCAAGGCAAATCTGGGCAAGAAATCCGTTTGTGCTTCCAACAGAAAATATTAGGTGCATTTTCTGAACGTAAGCAAGAATTAAAAAACAAGGCATCTATTTGGCCGATGTCAGTGTTTTCTCATTCAACTGCAAACAGTATCAGGAAGTTCAAATTTGGTTGATCTGACTCCTTAGAGGTGGGGGAACGAAAACACAAGCACTTGGCACCAACTGTTGCTTATGTTATCTCACCCAGAAGATCTGCAGACCTAATGATTCAAGCGGGCTCTGAAGGCTTTCACAGGATTACTTGTGCGAGAAAGGCTTTTTTTTTTTTTTTTTTTTTTTTGGCATAGAAATGAACTCCAAATATATTTTAACGGCCAGATTTCTGGTGAAAGATGAAGAAAAGATGTGAGTGGCAATCTTTATCTCCTTTTTCAAGGACAGCATTTTCTCTTAGAGAAGGAAGATTGCTACCGAGTAAACCATGTTTCTTAAAATGCTCATCACCCATGTCAACATCCTCTCATATTTCCAAAGCAGGTATGTGCAGCAGCTCCATCCTGACCCAGCACTCATCCTAAGTCTCCAGTTCAAGCAGGACTCCAGGAAATTCTGGTTCTGGAGACCCACAGTTCCCAAAACCAAATCCCAGCCCAGAGCAGGGCACGGTGAGCTCCCTCTCAGCTCTATTTAAAATCCACTAAATAACAATGCACCCGTAGGGCAGTTCAGATCTCCCAAGTTTTGAACCCTTTAATTCTTTCCAGTCCATGAGTGGGACTAAAACACCAAATGGAGGCACTGAGTTCAAGTCTTGGCACTGCCACGCATACTTTCTGAGACTGCTGGCAAACCACACTCTCTCAGGACCTCAGCCTCTCATCTGGCAAAGGAAGGTTCCTTAATGTATAGATTTTGTGAAGATCAATTCTCTAGTATCTGTGAAAAGCAGCATTAGAGCATCTACAAAGGGACCTCAGTAATACTCTTGTGCCTTCGGTCCCACCTTATGGATTGCACTTTTCCTGGAGCACAGCGACCTTGATCCTGCAACCTGTGCAAGCGTGAACCCACAGTTCAGCTGATTTTTTTTTGATGGCTTGCAGAATCACTGCTAATTCATCCATCCCAGATCCATCCAAACACACAGCTGATGAAATAAATATCTTCTTAGTGCTCATATTATCACCCAGAGTTTTGGGGCCGGCTCGTAAAGGCGCTTATGTGCAACAACGCCTAAGCAAACCGGGCTGATTTAAGAGGGCTGAGGGAACACTTAGCTGAGAATTTCCTGGCTTCAGTTAGTTGCAGTCAGAGTGTTAAGATTATATTTCAGTGTCAGTATATTGTTTTTATTTCCTTTATTAAATTTGCTTTAACTTGCATTGACATTTTCTTTCCCTTGTTACTCAATCTCTCAGCTGCAAAGATCCTGTCTGTTGAACTGTTTTGCCATTTGTATCAAAAATAAGCATTAATGCAATAGGAATTCTTACATTTTTTTACCACTAAGAAGAGAAATCAAGCCCCAGATGCTACTGCTCCTGCTGGATTTCCAGCCCAGCCTGGTCAGACTAGTCAGGAGATTTTGATCCAGAGGCAGCTGCACCACCAGCACACAGAATTTGTTTTTTTCAGGCCACACAGTTACTGCAGTTGGGCACCACTGGCTGCCACCAAAGTCCAGTTTAAATTCCCCACTCCCTCTCACAGATGGAGCACTAGTACTGCTGGCAACAGCACTGCTGTTGCTGATTGAAACCAGGGAAAAGCTTCACAATGCCAAGTTTCCTAAAGACAACTTTAATTTCAGTGCATGCAGCATTGCACCTGTACATGTTGTTGGGAGTCTAAGTGGCAGTGTGATGGGATTTCTTACTGGAATTTCACTTGGAAAAATCAATGCACATTTAAATGACATACTAGTTACAGTAGAACATCTCTGTTTTATGCAAGAGACAGAATTTGTTCTGCAAAAACCATTATTTTCAGCTTTTTGAAGGCAAAGGCAGTTAAAGTTTCAGGTTTGGTTGTAAACAAATATCCAAAGAAGAGAGAGAAAATGTCCAGATCAAAAAGAACTTTATGTGAAGCCTACAATTGCTCTGAAGTACCTAGACTTTGTGTAAGTAAGTTAGACCAGCACACTGACCTTCAACACAATTCTGAGATGCTGCCTGAGGCTTTGCACAGTCACAGGATCTGACCTTGGACCGTGGGAAGGGTTGTGACACAGGGCTGTAATCAGGGTTATTGCACTCTCTGTCAAGGCTCTTCTGCATGCAGGATCCCTCTGGAGTCCAGTCCCCAGCTCCAGGATTGTGCAGAGGTGGAATCTGGCACGGGACAGAGGGGTCACAGCACAGGGCATGAAATGCTGCGTCGCCACTGGGAGCAGAGAAAACTGAGCCTTGGCATAACCTATTCATTACAGCATGGTGGGGCACAGCCAGGCTGGATGGAAATCAGACCTTCGCCCTTCCAACCAGTAGAGGACAAGATTTAGGTTTTGGCCTGCCTGTCTCTCCAATATTCGGGGAAGGGCATAGGAGGTGAGTGAAAAAGCTTACACTGGCTGGAACCACCTGGTCTGTGCAAGAGGAGATGAAACATTGGCCTTATCCCCCTAGGTTTACCCAGATCACCTGCAGGTCTCACCAGGAGTCTCCCACCTCACATAAATCCTCCTCAGTGACAGAGAAGTCCAACCATCCAGCAATGTCACCATTCACTCAGTGACCTTATTTTGAAACACTGAACTCCAGAGACCTGTGGAGATGTAACTTCTCTCCAGACACTGGATCCCAAATGGTCTTATCTTGATACAGAGCCTTGCTGTACATGTGAATAACAAACCACTGATGCAAGCAAAAAAGTTTACAGTAAAACTGTCAATATTCCTCTCCTTCCTTTGTGTACAGGGGCTGCTGAACTCCCGGAGAGCTGGTGATCTCCTGCACTATTGATGCCAAAGAATAACCCAGAGAGATTGGGGATGAGGAAGGAACAAGCCACAGCTTTGAGGTCTCTGCAGATATTGAGTAAATTGGACCTGTAGTTTTGTTCCCAGTGTGCAGAGATTACAGAACTTGCTTGGCCAGCTGTGCAGTTCAGGTGTTCTTCTTCAGTTCAACCCAATTCCCAACCCACCAGGAATAAATCCAATGGCAGTCAGTATTCAAGACACTACAGTGGGAGTGGTCCATGGTTTTGAAGACAGAAAGAATGATGAAAGCTTACTTTATGGATATTTTCTGGTTTGTGAGGTAGGGAGAGGAAAGGCATATAGTTAAAGTATGGGCAGGATTTTTAATGACTGCTACAGAATCAATTCCATGAATGGGGACCAGTGCTATGGTGCACCAAGCTACGGCTGCATTAAGTGCTTCATCAAAGCTGCATTTTTAACCCACAGTACAAACATTTGATCTGCTTCAGGCAGAGCATTTCACTGTCACATTTGCCTGGGATCTTGCCCAGATGAGCAAACCACAGCACCAGCCTCTGCTCTTTGCTCTGCGAATGCTGGCACCAGTCCCAGGGAGGCAAAAGTCCTGACACTGGTGTCAAGAAGCCACATGAAAAGGCGAAACATCAAGTGATCCTTCTAAAAGAAATCACTGCAGGTGCCTTTCATTCTCCTTCTGCTTTCTGAACCTTGAGGGCACACTTGCTTTATGTTGCTCAGCTCTCCTTCCCAGCTCTAGAAACCTGTGCCTTTTAAAACAAAAGCTGCAACTCTAGTTCCTTCCCTTCCATCCAGCAGCTACAGCTTTCAGAGAAAGCCCAAATATTGCAGTGAAATTTCCAGGGTTGCCAGAGGTTTGCCTCTGGTCCAGGCAAGC